AATCAACCTCTCATACGGGGAAATGTTGCCTAGGCCGCGGTCTTCGCCAGGCGAGAGTTCGGAAGCGATCCACGATTGGAATTGGCATAAGTTTAAGTTTTAAGGTATACATATATTTCAATATTACTATTTTACTATATATTAGGTAAAGAACACAGTTTGGACATTCTTCTTTGTTATAAATCCCACACAGACATAGGACCTATAAATCCCAGAAAAACATCGGACAAATCATCACCGTATAGTCTCTACCATCATAAGCACTCACGACTGTCATCCAGAGGGGTAGGTAGAGACTACAGACTTCCTTCATTTGGCTTCATCATGTCACACCTCTCACGTCACCTTTACATTCATATACCTACGCATATATGCTTGTCGATTAGAGTACCCTTAATCTGGCCCATCTATATCTATATCTATACAAATAAATAAAATTGAAGTATCTGTTTGTAATGTCAAAATGACAGCTTTTTACTAAACGCATATGAAATTATATACAGTACTTATAACAAAAACACATTTTTTTAATTTTTAGTCTGTCTGTCTATTTGTTCCGCCTAATCTCCGAAATGGCTAAACCGATTTTGACAGGACGTTCACTAACAGATAGTTAATATTATAATGAGTAACTTAGGCTACTTTCATTTTAGAAAAATGATTAGGGTTTGACCTTTGATTCTGCTGTTCGTCCAAGTTAAGACCTTTGACTCTGCTATCCGTCCAAGTTAAAACCTTTGACTCTGCTATCCGTCCAAGTTAAGACCTTTAACTCTGCTATCCGTCCAAGTAAAGACCTTTGACTCTGCTGTTCGTACAAGTTAAGACCTTTGACTTTGCTGTTCGTCCAAGTTAAGACCTTTGACTCTGCCATTCGTCCAAGTTAAGACCTTTAACTCTGCTGTCGGTCCAAGTTAAGACCTTTGACTCTGCTGTTCGTTCAATTATTTTACATTTTGTGTACCAAATGGTATCTACATTTATGGTACGTACCTTTTACATAGTCAGGTTATAGTGTAAGAGGTTCTGACTATACCTACGGGAGGAAGTTAGATAGTGGAATCTCTTATACCGTAACTACATGGCTTAGGTGCCACTGGGATCTTGCTGTTTCCTCCCAGGACAGACGTTTTTTCCGAACCAGTGGTAAAACCTTGTGTAATAAGTATCCTTGTAATATAATGAATAAAAATGATTCTATTGTATATTCTAGATGATTACTAGCGATGTAAGCCGTGTGGTGGTAGTGTGAGAATGTTCAATACCCCATATCATCCCGTGGGTGTCTTAAGAAGGTACAGAGGGAAACTAAACCAGAAGATGGGCTAGCAGCATCTTTCTAATGATAACAACACAAAATACTAAAAAACTGCGATTGCCAGCCCGCCTGCCAAGCGTGGCAACTATGGCAAAATCTTCCCAATGCGGCAATCTATGCGAGAGACCTATGATGGAATGGACTAGCAATGCACAATAAACTTGAAAACACTCATAAAATTTTAGTAGACACGTCGTTCACGACTGTACTAAACTCGGTACAACTAAAGTAAAACTTCATATTTCCTTTATTGCGCTTAAATGAAAGATTCTTTTGACGTGTGCACTTTAATACTCAATGTCAAACATTCTCGAAATGACTGTACTTCTTGTGAAGCGTCTAAATGTGAGTGCTCTAAGCGACTAAAAAATGTAGAGGCGAGTAAGTTGCGCTACTGTGTAAGGTCATTGCACAACAATGCAACATTTTCTCACAGAATACATTTCTTCACGATTCTTAAAGCTCTTGTACTTAAGATTGAGAAGAAAGTCGAAAAAATTTTCTTTAGAGATGTATACCTTCTATTATGGAAATACAATAAGTCAGTAATAAAATATCGCTTGAGATCCTAAATTTATCTTTTAATACACTATTGCGGACAACCATTATTTTCCTTTCTTACTTGAGTTATAAATTTCTAGGACTCAGCCTGATATCACGTAAATGAAAGTAATTTTACGGATTTTATCGCGTTTAATTTTAACATTTTAATTCCCGATGTTTCGGGTTTACTTTAAGATACTGTAAGCTCATTCTGCGTAGATCGAACCAAAAATTAATATTCAAAAACTGAAGGTAGCCAGGCTAACTGTGCCTACGTACCTGTGACTATGGGTGCTGCAAAGCACCCGAAACGTCGGGAATTAAAGATTTAAAATGAAACGCGATAAAATCCGTAAAATTAGTTTCATTTAATGTGTAACGTTCGTGTAAATATAAGAAATCGTTATCTGTAACCACCTATTCCTACCGCAAAACCGCAGTGCATGTATTAGTCCATCAATTGGTAAATAAAAAATGACTTTCAATGAGTACTATTCCATTCTATTCTATAATTGCGCACAAATCTGGTATTTTAATTTCATGTTCATCATCATTACAGCCCGTCACAAGCCCACTGCTGAACATAGGCTTTCCCAAGAGACGCCACAAAGCACGTTCCTGAGCCAACCGCATTCATCGATTTCCTGCATCACTTACCAGGTTGTCACTCAGTGGAGGACCGCCCTACACTTTGCTTACCTGTACGAGGTTACCACTAGAGAACTTTTCCCATTGGTTTTTTTTAATTTTATGCGCTCGTCTAGGTGTCAAGCCTCAAGAGCGTGTAGAGTGGTTGTTAATAATATATTTGACGTGATAACTGTCTAAGACATAAAATTTAATCTATACTTATTAGGGACTATGAAATTGCCATATGAAATAAGTTATCGTGAATTGTAATTAGAATTCTTAGCCAAACAAAAATTATATTTTGATTTGAAATGGCCAGTACTGCAGAACGGTAATTTCATAAGTGCATTTTTATAATAACGAAATAACTGCTTTTATTGAACTGAGGAGGTTGTTTGCATGCCATTAATACATGATTTATAGTCCAACTAGGTAAGTCCAACTTCGACCGAGAGGTCGATCGACGGATTCAACTTAGCTGGGCAGCGTTCAGGAAATTACGACACATCTTCTCGTCAGGTATATCTCAAAACTTGAAAACGAAATTGTACAACCAGTGCGTGTTGCCAGTGATTATATATGGAACTGAGACGTGGTCCTTCACTGCTGGCCGTATGAGGACGCTCAAGTTCGCTCAGCGAGTTATGGAGAGGACTATGCTCGGGGTTTCTCTGCGTGATAAACTTAGAAATGAAGATATCCGCAGTAGAACCAGAGTAACCGACATAGCCTAACGGGTTAGTAAGCTGAAGTGGCAATTGGCCAGCCATATAGATCGAAGAAACGACAACCGATGGGGAAAAAAGGTTCTCGAGTGACAGCCTCGTACCGGTAGGCGAAGTGTAGGGCGATCCCTTACTAAATGGAGTGACGACCTGGTAAGACATGCAGGAAGTCTATGGATGCAGGTGCCTCAGGACCGTGCTTTGAGGCATTCGTTGGGGGAAGCCTATGTTCAGCAGTAGTTTTATGAAGAGCTATAATGATGATAATGATGATGAACCAATCTCCAGAATGCTTGAAACGATTGTGATGACACTTGACGAACAGTCATAGAGAAATGCCAGCGGCGATTTATACTATAATTTATTCGCTAAATTTGGAAATTGTGTTTTTTTTTTGAGTAATTAAAAAATTGATAAAATAAATAGTCTTTGATGATCTAAAATTTAGATTCTAAATAATACCATATCATAAGTTGCTATCCAATCAAAACCGGGGCTGGTCGCTAGATAAAATAATATGAATACGTGGTATCACAGGGGCTAGGCACTAGTCGTAAATTTTACAGTATATGAGCAACGCGAACTCTATTCCCACCATAAAACTTACGTTACCAACCTCATGATCTAGACTCTGTGCAATTTACTAGGAGTTTTCTTCTGTACACGACTACTTTGTGGAATTGTTTAACACCGGGAATTTTTTTCGGATCGACACGACTTAGGGACCTTCAAGGAACAAGCTTACTCCCTTTTAAAGGCCAGCAATGCACCTACAATTCCCCTGGTGCTGCAGTTGTTCATGGGCGACGGTCAACACTTACTATAAGGTAAGCCGCATGCTCGACTGAGAAGATGGGCTTCTTTAAAAAAAACAGCGAGCACCAATGAAATTGTTAATTTCAATTTTAAGTAATGATTAAGAGGATTGTGAAGCTGTAAATTTTCATACAAAAAGCGATAACGTTTCTCCCCCCGTAAACATAGTTTAATTTTCATAACTTTTTATAATGTTGTAAATATAATGAAAGTCCTCAGATAAAGATGTCTTTGGGCAAAAATATCCGCTTACCATCAGGTGAACTGTGCGCCCATTTGTCATTCTTATACTTGCAGAAAAAAAGCGCTAGTCTTTTGTTCTTTTCCATCATGTCACTTTTATATAGGTGATGTGACGTCCGTTAAAATTTTGAAACAAGTTCACTTAGTTTATTATTTTTAAATTAATACCCAAACAATGGTATTAATCCATAATTATATCATAATGAATAGAAGTAATATGCATATTTAAAAAAATATACAACGTTATAACATGTGCAGCGTGAAAACTACGCCCATTTTCTCACACACAGCATCCTTCAGCACCTAGATCTTATCACAACCGATAACAGATAAGATAAAACTGAAGCTAAATCGTTTCTCTCTATGAAGTTCATTGCCGCACATAAATACGCCTTTGTTATAAGATTCATAATTAACTAGGTTTACTCTTTACTTATACATGAAAAAAAAAAACATTAAGATATATTTCCAATAAAAAAGAATCCTTACATTTATCATTTTTTCTTACTTATAAACTTTTTTGTTTCTATTATTAATTTTGCACTGTTAAAACGCAGTGATTATATACTCTTTGGTCACTGTAAGAAAGTTAGCACGCGTATGGAAATTTAAAAATCAAACTGAATAAATTAAAAAGTTCTTCTTAGCGTTTTATGAAATTTTTAGGCAAAAATATCTATCGTAGCCTAAAACATTTTACATAAAAATAATTAAACAGAACTAACCTGCTTTACAATTAATCTTGCCACTCTTGGACTTGCGAATGTCACGAACCCATAGCATTTGGACACACCAGCTCTGTCATAGATCACCCTCGCCGCAGTTACAGTCGCGAAACCGGAGAAAAACTTCCAGAGGTCCTCGTCGGTTGTTGTCAATGAGAAACCGCCGACGAAAATCCTATTGTGTATGACCGTCCCAAATTTTGGAGCGTCCGAAGGTGGGAGCGTGTCGTCGGTGTCCTCCTCGGGCGAGTTCAGCAAAGCCTTCAACTTTTCATGAGGATCCGTAATCTTTCTATTGTTCGCCGTGCTTTCTTCAACCATGTGAGCACAACTGGCTGATTCGCTACGTATATACCTTTTCACGCTGCCTTCCATTCTACAGTATTCCCTTAAAACATGTTCCCTTGTTTACTAAACTAAAAATGCTAGCGACAACTAAGCAGACACTAATGTTCGAGGAAAAAACAACCCGAACTGGCTTTACGCGACGTTGTATCGATTTTGACTGTACTATTCTTACATAGATATGTTAACGTGCGTTGCGCCGTGGGCCGTGTACGAAATCTGACAGATTCCAAACTCGGATGTTAAGAAAACAATGCGATAGATAAGGTTGTGTAGATTGAGATTTGAGAGATACGTACTAAAAATAGTGTTTGAGCTATTGTCGCACGCTATTTTTACTGGTCGAGGTAACTAGGTCATTGGTTGATACGTAGTGCATGTATATCAAGTGGTTCTTATCTGAGCGTTAATTAGTTACATCCGGTCGCACATAGATGGCGTTGATTGTAGACATTAAATTTACTTGAAAGAAAGAAAGTTAATTTATTACAACAAACACTAAAACTATTGTTTCTAATATAACAAAACTAATATTACTAAAAAGTTTAAAAAAAACATAAAAAAATTGTATGCGTGTTTTTCTTTCCCATGTTGGTTTGGGACTTATATGTCCTATGTCTATAACAAAAAGTCGTAAAAGGCAACTATTGCGGTATTGGGTTTGTCAATGTGTAGGCGATGAGCTAGCAACCTTTTTTGGCTAAACGAGGTCCAAATGACTCGCAGCTCTTTGCAGCTTTACCTACCCCTTGGACATCACAAGCGTGACGTATTAACGCTTGAATTGAATTAACGGTTGGATGGATTATAAATAAATTTGCCATAAAAAGTGATTAAATATGCCTAGGGTACTTTTATAGCAAGGGACATAGGACCACTTCCGAGATATCGTCCTCCTTGGGAGTTACAATCTCTAGGTGTTCGGGGCCCCTGCCCCGAGCGCCCGTAACCCCGGAGACCCTGTTTCTGATAGGAAAACAGGGTCATCAAGTGGAGGGCAGTGACTAACGCCTTGGCGACGTCATCTCCGACCGGGATCTGCCCCCAATCTCGCTCAGCGGCCTCCTTCTCAATCATAACGGATTCATAGAAGGTGGCTACGTCCCACCATCACATATTCGCGCTCAACGTCGCCAACACGACTGCTGGCCGCTGCTATTCCCACGCTGGATATACGCGAGCGCCTGAGCTACCACAACTCTTCACTGCTTTTTTTTTAGTTACTGTATTGTTATAGATACAAACGAGTTTACAATCCGCCGGTAACCCGTGTTGATCTATGGTCCCAATATTGCAAGTCTGTCAGTGTTACTCGTATAGGTAACATTTCAAAGAGTGTACAAAGGCACTGCACCATCCCTGTTCCGCCATTGGATGACGAGCGTATCCCCACTCCGCCATTGGTTTCTATTCGCATTATGGTTGATATTTTTTTATAGGATAGGGTGACAAACGAGCACACAGTCCACCTGATTGTAAATGGTTGCTGTGACCCATAGACATCTACATCTATCCTCAATTAAGAATCAAAATGCAAATGCGTCGTCACCCGTGAGGACTAAGATCGAATGCCTCTTTTCCAGTAAAAAGGGTCTCCGGTTCTCTACACTCACCATACGAAACACAGCAGTGTCAGGCTACCATTTTACGCTGGTATTCTGTGAGAGCATGGTCCTTCCCCGGTTGAGCCGACCCATTCGTGCTACAACTATACTATTAATATAGCTGCAGCATAGCCCTACCAGGTATAAAATATGTCTCATACTTGTTCTTCTTCATCTTCAGAGCGGGCAGGCACAGCTAAGGAATGGAATATATTACAAACGTTAACCGTATATTCTAGATCGTTATAATTGACCAGTGATTAGATGTCTCTAATAAAGGTGCTATACGTTGAACTTCATCTCCGCTTACAATCAGCGGTCAAACTTTCGTCTATATGCAAACAAAACAATCTTAAATAGTAACTATTTTAACATTGCACTATTTTATAATATTTTGTAGAAATCGTAATTTCTTAAGCCCGCTTTTCACTATGGGATATAATATAATATATATTACATCTCGAGATACAAATTATTATCACTCACCATACATTTCATATCGAACCGTTTACACTGAGCTATAATATATATTACATCTCAAGCTATAAAAAATTTTTGATCGACCGAGCGATATTTTCATATTACCTAGTCAGGTCATAAGTATTGTCACACAGTAAAAACTTTTCTTTTAGAATGCTGGCCACAAAAAAGTTTATTGAGTTCGAATTTCGAATTGTTCATGAAAATAAAACTGTATACTTTTTAGAATTTTAGTCATTTTTAAATATGGAGTGGACGCTTAAAGAAGACCGTGTTGCAGTTATTGCGTTGCATCGTTGCGGTTACGCGCCAATTCAAATTTTTGACATACTGAAAAATTTGAATATAACCAAAGATTCGTTTATCGTCCCATCAAACGATACAATCAAGACTCTAGTGTAGATGACAGGTCAAGAAGTGGTCGCCCTCGGTGTGTTAGGACTCCAGCAGTGATAAAAGCTGTGAAGGTGCGAATTCAAAGAAATCCCAAACGTAAGCAGAAACTGTTGGCCCTTCAGATGGGGTTAAGCAGAACCACGGCGAAAAGGGTGTTAAATGAAGACTTAGGGCTTCGGGCATATCAAAGAAAACAGGATATCGTTTGAATGCTCGTCTAATGGACCTGAGACTGAAGAGATGCCGTGCTTTGTTGAAGCGGTACGCGGGAAAAAAATATCGGGAAATTCTTTTTTCGGCTGAAAAAATTTTTACCGTAGAAGAGAGCTACAACAAACAAAATGATAAGGTGTACGCACACAGTAGTGAAGAAGCGAGCAACCGTATTCCGCGTGTCCAACGAGGTCATTTTCCATCCTCGCTCATGGTATGGTTGGGAGTTTCTTATTGGGGCTTAATAGAGGTACATTTTTGTGAGAAAGGTGTAAAAACGAATGCAGTTGTGTATCAAAATACAGTCCTGACGAACCTTGTGGAACCTGTTTCTCATACCATGTTCAATAACAGGCACTGGGTATTCCAACAAGATTCGGTGTCATCTCATAGAGCGAAGAGCACACAAGACTAGCTGGCGGCGCGTGAAATCGACTTCATCCAGCGCGAAGACTGGCCCTCCTCCAGTCCAGGTTTGAATCCGTTAGGTTATAAGATATGGCAACACTTGGAGGAAAAGGCGTGCTCAAAGCCTCATCCCAATTTGGAGTCACTCAAGACATTCTTGATTAAGGCAGCCGCCGATATTGACATGGACCTCGTTCGTGCTGCGATAGACGACTGGCCGCGCAGATTGAAGGCCTGTATTCAAAATCACGGAGGTCATTTTGAATAAACTTTAGTGTCATAAGAATTTATGTTTTGTTAAGTTCATTTTGGTATATAAATGGTTACATAATGAATAAACTTGTTTCGATTATTTTATATTAAACATGTGACAGAATTTATGACCTGACTAGGTATATTTCGCCCCCTGTAACCCGCACACCGTTCCGCGCCCCCGCAGAACGGTCTACGGGGTAAAGAGGGGTAATCCAATGACCAATGACGAACGCACACTGTTTAAAAGATATATCTCACAGTGTGAAAGCCAATCGCGGGATATAATTTACATTTCGGGATATAATATATGTTACGAGTATATCCCATAGTGAAAAGCCAGCCTAATAGTACATTTATCAGTATTTTTGCTCTTTTTTGTTTCATATTTTTTTAGTGTTGCCCTTAGATTCGTCATAATATACTGTTATCAGCCACATTTCCGAAAATAGAATCTGTTATATTTGTATGAATATAGAATTTGAATTTTTCTTGACGATTTGTGAAGGTCATCATGTCATCATGGCGATATAAAACATTCTTATTAGAACTGCTTTATAACGTTGCTCTAATTTATGTTATTAACATGCTTTAACTAGCTTCGCGTGTATCTATCGATCTATGTCACGGAATATTTTAATGTTATTTTCACCAACTTGTAGACGGCCGATTGACTTCAAAATTTGCACTCGTATCAATGACCTGCGACAATACAATAATTTAATAACTTTATCCCAGTATCCTGATCAGGATCACCAGGATAAAATAAAATATTTATCAGGATCATCACACCTCATGGTCACTGCGTATTTTATAATTTTTGTTATATTTTGATATTATTAAGTATATATATATATATTTTATGGGATCGGGTGACAAACGAGCACACAGTCCACCTGATGGTAAGTGGTTGCTGCGGCCCATAGACCTGATCTACATTTATCCTCGTTTGCGAATCAAAATGCAGATGCGTTGTCAACCGTGAGGACTAAGATGGAATGCCTCCCTTCCAGTAAAAAGTGTCTCCGGTTCTCTACACTCACCATACGAATCACAGCAGATTTAAACTGCTATTTTACGCTGGTGTTCTGTGAGAGCGTGGTCCTTCCCCGGTCGAGCCGACCCATTCGTGCTACAACTATACTACTAATACATCTGCAGCATGGCTCTACCACGTATAATATATAGGTTTAAGTTGTAATATGTTTGCACATAAAACTTTGACGTGCACAATTAATCACGTGCGCAAACAATTCTCGTTTATCCCTTTCATGTAAAATCAATATACTGCACGATAAGTACTAATTAATAATTTAAGCAAAGACATATAGGTACATGATCTTTTATGATATTAAAAGTTCACTCTCTCCGCAAGACTGCGCTGCTCGTCTTTAAAATGCTTTTGGGAGACCAACTCATTTGAGCACCGTATAGCGTTGGTACGCATAATTAGATCGTAGTTGTGTGTTTCTCTGCAAGATGAAATTGCGATCACTGAGGAAAGTGTGGCTACTGTCAGGAAAAACCCATGAAAATTTTGAGGGTATTTGATAATGGTATAAGTCAAATTCAAAAAACTTTACATCAACATTTAAAAGTTAGAAAACTTTGTTGCCGCTGGATTCCTCATGAGCTCACCCCAAGGACAAAACGTTAAACCGAGTTGATTAGTGTTAA